GTTCAAATCCATCAAAGATAAAAGCTTGTGTAAAATATTTTTTCATCTGCGGATCTTATCAACTTTCACATCGATTCTCTTATCAAGTATCTTGAATATTTCAGAAGAAGATTGACAGCTCAAACATGAAGCTTTCATTACATTAACCTACATGACGGCATAAAATATTGTCATTTAGATCAAGTTGATCGTCAAGAATACAAGCGCTTAGATAAAACTATTACAGCCCAGTCATTGAAGACAAAATACAGAAGGTCTCATGGACAACGGCTCGTAGTGTCTTGAATTCACAGCAGCACACAAAGCAGATCAAATAACCTCATTAGTTAATTAAAGTAGGAACTTCCATACGCGCATTAGTTTAATGCATATTACAGAGTCCTCAACAGCCGCAGCGAAACCCTGTTGAAATTTGAAGAAAATTATTGATCCAAGTAAAAACCTATAGAAGTTAGCACCTCATTAGTTAATAGTAGGAACTTCCATACGCGCAATTAGTTTCATGCATATTACAGATTTTCTTAGCAACCGGAACGACACCCTGTTGAAATCTGAAGAAAATTGTTGATCCAAGTAAATCCCTATAGAAGTTAGCAGAGAGATCCTGCTTCTGATCCATAACGAAAAACTACTATACTAAAACCAACTCTGTGCATTCGTAATTTTTAATTTTGAATTCAGACGCTTAGTTTCACATGAACCTTTATTGCATGCATTCTACGTACGAAGTTACAGTTGTGAGTGAGTCTGTGTGTGGTAGGAGCTGGCGTTTACACTTTGCTTGGATAAACCTTCTCGCCATGACAGTGTAAGGCAGTAATATGAACGCTCTGTGAGTTGAGACGCATGGTAAACTTGGCATGATTTACGTGTTATGGCAAGGGTTTGGGTGGCGGCAAGAACATCCAAACGTTTGATATATGAAAGCATGATGGGAACATCTGTGCATGATTACATTATTTCTCATCCATGGCAAAAGGACTACAGTTCTCAGCAAGCGCCAGGATTTCAATAACGCAAATTTCATGTCTGGTCGGATAAATAAAATTGGCAAGAGTTTTTATGGCGTAAAACGCATAAAATTGTCCAATTCCGAGTCATGGAAGGCGATAAATTTGAGCTGTCAGCCGATCAAACACCTGAAATGAATAAAACCTTTAAATTTTCCATGAGATCGACTGGGTACCAAATTTCTCAACTTCTAAGTCAAAGCACAAATAGAGTCTGGCCCAACAGGCTGCAGTTCACATATTTGAACGAGCATTTGCAGGCACCTTAGAGGAACTGTTCTTTACTCTAGAAGCATTCTTGGAAAAATACACAAATTGTGAGTGAGTCTGTGTGTGGTAGGAGCTGGCGTTTACACTTTGCTTGGATAAACCTTCTCGCCATGACAGTGTAAGGCAGTAATATGAACGCTCTGTGAGTTGAGACGCATGGTAAACTTGGCATGATTTACGTGTTATGGCAAGGGTTTGGGTGGCGGCAAGAACATCCAAACGTTTGATATATGAAAGCATGATGGGAACATCTGTGCATGATTACATTATTTCTCATCCATGGCAAAAGGACTACAGTTCTCAGCAAGCGCCAGGATTTCAATAACGCAAATTTCATGTCTGGTCGGATAAATAAAATTGGCAAGAGTTTTTATGGCGTAAAACGCATAAAATTGTCCAATTCCGAGTCATGGAAGGCGATAAATTTGAGCTGTCAGCCGATCAAACACCTGAAATGAATAAAACCTTTAAATTTTCCATGAGATCGACTGGGTACCAAATTTCTCAACTTCTAAGTCAAAGCACAAATAGAGTCTGGCCCAACAGGCTGCAGTTCACATATTTGAACGAGCATTTGCAGGCACTTTAGAGGAACTGTTCTTTACTCTAGAAGCATTCTTGGAAAAATACACAAATTGCATAAGAAATTTGAACTTAAGTTCCCAATAGATATTTTTCGTGAACATTATCTTCAGGCAAGCAGTTCCACAATCCGACACTATAAAAATGCCCGTAATTTCAAAGAACTGAGATAAAAATGCCCGTAATTTCAAAGAACTGAGCATGAGACCACCGTATTTAGAGCGACAATATAAGAGAAGCGACAACAAACAATCCCAAAAGCAAACAGGCGCTAGACAGGCGAAGCACATCATATTTGTGCAAGTGATTTTAAGAGGCCCACAGAGAGCCTCACGTCATCTCTGTGACAGTGCCATCGCGTCGCAACAACAGAGAAAATCTTGGTCGAAATATCGATGTTAACTGAATGGCCGGTGATGTTTCGGCAAATATTTTCAATAGGGTTTCTCTGACAACATAGCTTGACAACAAAGTAGACGGGGCAGCAGCACTAAGAGAAATAAGTGGTGAAATTTTGTCGAATTAGCAATGCACTTTTTGCCTACGTATGGGTCATCAAAGGAATTATTCATATCCCTTTGAGAGAGATTCATATTCATTCATATAAGATTCATTCATATATTCATTCATATAAGAGATTATTCATATTCATAATGTTATCAGTGCTACGTCCGCACTATGCTCGTACTGTCCGTGTAATAATGTCTCACTATTTGGACAGTAAGACTCATCAATTTTTCTGAGTACATAAGGCTGTCGCTACACAGAAGTCTACTGCAACAAATGACCAAGAAGAGACAGGTTAAGATGGCAATCATTGCTGCGGACTCTGACTTTACCATATTCTGCCAAACAAATTTTCCTATTCAGGTAGGAATAACATTACGAACAAGCTGCCAAATTCATCAACATGGTTACTTTAAGCTTAACACACACATTATTGTTCAGCGACTTTACCACATACTATCAGACAAATTTTCCTATTCAGGTAGGAATAGCATTACGAACAAGCTGTCAAATTCATCAACATGGTTACTTTAATCTTAACACACACATCATTGTTCAGCAAGAAATAAATTGCAAAAGAATAGGACAATTGAATAGGAAAATGAAAAATAATACGATAAAAAATATAATTCAGTACTCACTGCAGTGAGAGACAGAGAGCGCATTTTTTGGTCGACGAATACGTTAAGTCACGGACGGACGGACGGACATGACGAGCACAATAGCGCCTTTTTTCCATAAATGAGAAAATGCGCTAAAAATTGAAGGATAGCACGAAGTGTAGCAAAGTAAATTGTGCAAAGACACAAAAGTGTCAACTAACGAGCAGGGTTTGTGGTTCAGCGCGTCTTATCTGCATGATGACGATGAATGGCCGCAGTTAATTCAGTGATAGACTGCAAATATTTCGCTGTGAAAGTGGACTGTGTCCACTTTAGTTAGGTTTAAATTTTAGTTAGGTGTCACAATATCACTCAATTAATTAGATGTGTAAACTGACTTCGCTTGGTCCACTTTCACAGTGGACTGTGAAAGTGGACCAAGCGAAGTCAGTTTACACATCTAATTAATTGAGTGATATGGTGACTGTTAACTAAAATTTTACTAATATTCAGTCAAGGTTTATCATAGAGAATTGTGAACAAATTTAAATTCTTCTAATTCGAGGATCGTGAAATTAAAAACTGGAGACATCATATGAATTTCCTTACTTATATTCATATTTATCATATTAATACGAATATCAATAACCCGCGATAAAAATTGAAAGACAAGCCAGGAAAATATCCAATTAAAAATTAATAAGTCGGTTTAATCATTTCAAAATGCATGAAGAAACAAGCAGGATTTTGGAACATTATTTCGCAATAAATTAACTAAGCGGAAAAATTAATTACATCCTAAAAAATAACTGGAATCCAGTGGTTTTAGGGGGAAAAAAGAAACAGAAACAAATTTCTCAGCTAAATACATTAGAGAGCGATTGTTTCATAAATGCGAAATGAACCAGAAAAACTAAGTTTCATTTAATAAACTGGGAAATATTAATACCGAAAGCCTGAGATTTGCGACGACTCAGCGACCTCTTCTCCGCACTCAGAAAAATAAGTGAAACTTTGTCCAAATATCGATACAGTTTTTGTCCTTGCGATGGTCGTCATGCACCAGTTTATCCCGGCTAAAGGGTGCATCAAACTTAAGTCTCGACGATCCGTCACTACAGTGTCGAGCGTCACGGCGGGGCGACTGACGTGTGTCTCACACGTCGTCAAGAAGCGCGGGTCTCGCGTCGTTAACGTAAACGTAAAGTGAATCTTCGTCGCTAACGAAGATCGCAAAATTTATGAGTGTGCAAACATGATACTTCAATAACTCTTAAAGTACGAAGACTTGATGGAGGAGTTCAATTATCTGATCATGTGTGTTGTGTGATTTTAGCGCAGAATATCTATACTAATATACAGTATATATTTTTTATTTTAGCGCAGAAAATCTATACTAATATATTCCTTTTTTATTTTAGCGCATAATATCCATACTAATATATTTCCTTTTGATTTTAGCGCAGAATATCCATACTTTTGACGAAGAATGTTCCAAACGAATAATATTGTTTTGGGTTGCGACATTAGTAGGTACTACATAAGAAATCGTAACAACAATGGCTAATGGAAAAATTTTGTTTTGGTTTGTCATGTCAATAATACTGCAAGAAAATGCAAAAAGAATATCGGTACAATCATGCTTATCATTACATAATGAGAATGGATTTTTAGATTAATTTTTCAGATTAGATTAGACAAATTTTTTCATCAGAAATATACAGAAATATACCTCGCTTGAATTTAAATTAAAAATTAAATTAAATTTAAATTAAATTTTGAACACAACTTACTGTTATTGCACGCATGTCAATTAATGCGACTTGCGCATTGACTTAGGAAGGCGAACTCTTTCACAGAAGTGATTGAAAGAAATATATACATGTGCATTAAAAAGATTTTAAAGAAAAAATTATTTCGCAACTCAAATGACCAGGGAATAAAACTAAAGCACTCCATTTTTCAACACTAGATAATTTTTCATTACAGAAGTTTACAAAAATCACAGAAAAAAATGTTCGGTACTCACAACTTTTGAAGAGTCGTCGCAGTGAACCTCGACCAGGGCGGGTAGGTTGGTAAGCCTGAGCTCCTGCAGCGCCCCCTGCAGGCATACCAACATCACCTCTGTCAGTACCAGCCTCCACACGCTCAAAATAATGGTGTGCATCATACCCACGCTCACCACGCAACCAATCACAGCTCATCAATCGCACGAGTGGATTATGTCGTCACAGCTCATCACTTCTAACGAGGAACAACTGCTGTTTTCCTTACGAATTTTCCATGTTCTAGTTTCAGTAATATTTAATAACTTCAAATTATCATTAACTTTGCTTCAGTTTTTCTACAACATTTATGTATAAACAAGGCGCACAAATCTAACACCTGAGAAACTTAATATAAATGTAAAGGTTATGCGACCATTTCTTTGTGCAATTAAATTTATTGCATGGTTTACTTCACACATAAATTTTGATTATACTTAATTCACTTTAAAATAATTTAATGTTGGTCTTGCACAATGAAAACAAATCAAGAGCCAATACGAGACACGTAATTTCAAACATAGATTGGTTTTATTCTCCAGGGGTTGATCCAAAAATTTAAATTTTCAAAATAAGGTAAAAAAGTCAACGTTTTTAAATTCAGAAACTAAAACTTTCTTGAACAACATTCACTTTGATTACAAGCGAAATCCACAAATTCAAAGGAGGGAAAATATCGCTTCAGTCTTATATACAGAATTAAAATTGGTTTAATATTTAAGAATATAGGGACCTGTAATCCTAGCATTTACACACACTTCACACCACGAGTACATCGCGAATAGAAATGTTATCAGCCGAATCTCCTTCAGGATTTATCACATTGACTTGAATGGAACCACAGGTGCCCCAGTATTGCTAGGACATGTTTCGTACACAACTATAAAGGCACGGAAGTGATGCACAGGTAAGTCTAAGGCACGCCAGCTAGTTTATGGTATGGTAGTGTCACATGTTTACTTCCAGAACATCAACACTGGGCATTCACATATTGAATTTATGTCCTAAGAACTGTCGTATTCTCGAATACAAGGCACTCAGTATCAGATACAATTGTGGAGACTGACTTTTAAAGGGAAATATAATGTCAAACGTATCTGGAATTTACTGAAATCGATAACATAAATCAGCATCGGAGAATAATCTCAGAAAAATTGGTTTGGCAACAATAATTTCCTATATATAGTATTATGTCCATTATTTCCTTTATATAGTAGATAAAAAAAGTCGGTTACCACGCACAAGACGTCGCATGCTCAAGCATCGAGGTAGGTAGCATCGATATTTGGAGGTAGGTAGCAGTAGGTAGCATCGGTAGGTAGGTAGGTAGGTAGCATCGTGCCAAAGAGTGGCAAGTCTAGAGGCAAGCGCCGAATTGTTTACAAAGCACGTCGCAATTTCATGCCATTCTACCCTATCAATCACATGCCACTTGCAGCCATCAACAAACGGAGAAATCGACGTAGTCACAAGCCTCGGGCTTGCGATTTTTATCGCCTTTATTGTCAACAAAAATGCCCCCAGCGAGAACAAAAATGCGATAAAATGTTATTGAACATTACGATGAATGCTATGTAAGAAGTTTTCCCTCTAAGAAAATGACGTTGAAACGAGCTGATTTCGTTAAAACAACGGTGATTGCGATTTGACTACGTTGACAACATGTAGATTGCAAGTTCTTTGAAACGTTGATTGCGAGTAGGTACTGGTAATTAAAACAACAGTAGTTGCGATTAGATATAATCATTGAAACAGCGTTGATTGTGAGTAGATATAATCATTGAAACAGTGTTGATTGTGAGTTAATTCTTTCAAAATTGTTAGGGAGCCTCGTGATAGTCATGAGAATCACATCCAACTTGACATGCACTCGTTGCGAATGAAGTATCTCTCACCCGCGACTATAATTAAAACCTGTAAACAAAACCAGCCTGATTTGTAATCAACCTCTTTGTGACTCCAAACAGCCATTTCATTTCATACCGTGATGCACATTAATTTATCTGAATTAATAACAAGTGTTCCATCATTTTGAGTGTCTTGAAGAGAAAAAATACGAACGCTTTAGATTGCAATCAAGGAAAGTCATGACTTACATCGCACACTCAGAAATATGAATATTATCCAAATAGTGACACACTTTCTACATGCATCTCTGATACACAATGTTTCCGGGCGCACTTGCTTCAGAATGACCCTAAAAAATATAACAGTATACTCACTGCAGTGAGCGACAGAGAGCGCTTTTTCTCGTCGACAAAACCGTGAAGTCACGGACGGACAGACAGATAGACTGACGGACGGACGACCAGACGGGCATGGCGAGCACAATAGCGCCTTTTTTCATAAATGAATGCGCTAAAAAGGGCAAAAATTGCGTCGATATTTAGACAAAGTCTTACTCATTTCTTTCTGAGCGCATGAAGCAACGCCTCGTTAGTCGCTGTCACCAACCAGCGCCTGCAGGAATGACGGCTTGGCGTCGCGCGCTGCCAAGATATCGTTTTGTTCGCCGCAATTTTTTATAGAAACACACGTTTTTGGGCCATTTTTAGCGCATTTTCCCATTTAGGGAAAAAATGCGCTATTGCGCTCGCCATATCCGTCCGTCTGTCTGTCTGTCCGCCCGTCCGTCCGTGACTTCACGTTTTCGTCGACGAGAAAATGCGCTATCTGTCACTCACTGCAGTGACATATTATATTTTTTATAGAAACACACGTTTTAAGCCCATTTTTTATTATAAAACCGCAGCCACTGAAATATTATTCAGAACCATTATACGATGGACAATCAAAGTGAAATCAATGCAATAGCAATGTTTTGTTTACAGTCGGTATATATACGTACGTTTGTCGCCGGTCGAAATTCAATTCAATCATATCGGCTGCCCCTCATACGACAGAAATAAATCTGGGTTAGTAACCCTAGCTCCTATCTTATTTTCAATTTTAAACTAATCTGTTGTTTTGTTTAATCTGCAAGACTGAGATTTGTCGTATTGTGTAGATTACTGCTTTAAATGCTCATGAGATATTTATCGAGTCAATAAAATTTTCATATTCAAAGAGAAAATTAGTCCATCTAATCACCAATATGTTAAGAACTTTCTTACATTCCAGCGCCAAACAAAAGTTGGGGAGCATGCATTAGGGATCAAGAAAAGTTCCAAATTTAGAAGTTACTCCCTGACATAATCAACTAATTATTAATATTTTCCCCGCATCCAAACGTTAAAAAACAATCATAGACTGTAAATCCATGAATTTTGAATTACTTACGCCAAAAAATTTTCAAACCTACCATCCATATATAGTTCTTCCAACAACCAAGTCAGTGAAAACTTCAAAAAATATAACTCAGTACTCACAGCAGTGAGTGACAGAGAGCGCATTTTCTCGTCGACTAAAACGTAAAATCACGGACAGACAGACAGACAGACGGACGGACATGGCGAGCACAATAGTGCAATTTTTCCATGAATGAGAAAATGCGCTAAAAACGGTGAATAGATTCCTTCATGGGCGTGCTCCACCAACATCAATAATCTCCGAAGATAAGCAATTAGCAAGCCAATCCCCACAAGACGCCCAGCGATGACGGATGCCTATCCCTTACCTTTATCCAGAGACTATTAAACTTACGCTTTTACCTCGTCATCCGGACATACAGAATAATTATTCTTGTTTTCCTTAATACGATTCCTCACGGAGCTCAGAAATTTACGGGTCGTTAAACGGATACAGAAATTCTCCATAGTTTCCACAATGCTATTCCTACCTGAATTGTACGATTAGTCGAGCATTCCACAGGGTGTTTTAGCTGTGACTCGAAGCAGGTAAAGGGCGTGCACTCGTAAGTGATGATAAGCGTTCAAAACCCTGACGAATACATACATAAATGGGGACTATTGGTGATTTAATAAATGCTGCGGTATATTAGCGAGTTAATAATTAAATGCTGCGGTAAATTAGCGAGTTAATAATTAATAAATGCTGCGGTAAATTAGATCTGATGGCAGCGCGATGCAGGTTTAGATATAAGATCTTATAGCAGAGCTTATCTTTCAGGGTTACAGAAGATGAGTAGAAGCACTAAACTTGTTTCATGAAAGGATTCGTTCACGCCTCACTTCATTCATTAATTAAATCCATACATCAATGGAGGACGGCGGGCGGAAAATGTTGTCTTGCACCTAAGTTTTTTTGCGATCTCGGTTACATTCAACCGTTTGTTATAGAGGTGCCGGTTAAATTCAATTAAACCATCACTGAAAAATAATAATTCTTAGATAAATAAGATTAATGAGGTAAGTAATTCTCCTAATATAATTTTCCAACATACAGAAGTGCGTAGATGTTAGCGGCCAAAACGCTATCGTTTAGTTCATGATATTAAACAAATACGCAGGCAACGATCCGCAAATAAACGGCATACAGTTCCGCAATTTTTGTTACCACGAATTCAACGTCTTCGCTCTCAATTTTAAATTTTTTGTTGCGTGGCTAACGGCAAAATTTTGCGTCTCGCCTAAGCCAATTAGATAATTTATAATTCAGTTAAATAGTATGAACTGATCCAACCAAATCAGACAACTTCACCATGTGAATACAACAGAACTCAACAATATGCACTTGAAAACGAGAACTCCATTGCAAATACTTAGATATAAATTGTTCTCAAATAAAATTTAAATAAAACAATTAATTACTGCCATAATTTCGATGTTTCAAATACTAATCACTCTCCATCACAGCATTTATATAATAACATAAATAACTGAAGCCCAATAACATTTGAAGGTGCTGAAAAAAACCTAATAATTAGTCGTTTATATTAATATTTTAAAGTTTCGTCGTCTATTTAAAATGAGGTCAATGAACATTCGAGGCCAGTGAACGTAAAAAAATACTAAATGATTTTACTCTATTTGAATCGAGATCAATGAATATTCGGGATCAGTGAACGTTAAAAAATAATTTACGAATTCAGCAAATTTTGCAAATAAGTATACGATTTTGAATTTTAAATGCAGTAATCCATAAGTGCAGGTACGCGAAAAGGCCTTAAATTCTTAATAAGTATTGAAAACCAAACAAAACATAGGTGGGAAAATAATTGTGCGTCCAAATTGTCACCAATAACAATATGCAGTCAAACGGTAAATAATTTCATATGAATTTTGTAGCTACACAACAGCTAGGTTCAGGAAAAATGAACCCGAGTGACGAACCGCGAGCGAACAAAACGCGTACACACCCCACCACAGCCACGAGCACACTGACCGCTGGCAACAATGCAACACACTTAAATCTCATCATGAGTTGGTATTCTTATATACGATTGTTTCCCTGGAGTGTTTTTTTCAAAGCAGTGGCATTAATAGTTTATCATTTGTACGACTCGAGAGGCATATTCAATTACAGATCCAATAATATCTGTTGCACACAAGTACAATAAATTGCATTAAAAAATAAATGGACTTTCTCACAGTCACAATAGCTGTAATTACTTACTGAACTAATCTCATTAATATGAAATTCGTTGTATATGAATTTATTCTCACGTTACCCAAAATAAATCTCTGTTATCTAACCCTCACTAACTTTTGTCAACATTAGAAGACAAAATAAAATCTGCGTTAATATTTAATTAATTGCATAATCCAATTACATGTTTAAAACACCGCAAAAACAAATACGTATAATTTATTTATAAAATTGTTGCACACTGGACGGTAAGCATAAAATAATAACATGTTCGAGCACATTTTTTTTTATGAAAAAATAATGTTTAACAATATGTATCATATAAAATTTACAAAAAATATCTATTATTTTTAAGTACGTTGTAGAAATCACACAAACGAAGTCACTTTCAGTAGAACTTTACACAAGAGTTCGCGGTCAAAGAAATGCGAGTGCACGCAGTCTCTTCCCAACGCCCTCCGTTTGGCAGCAACAAGAGAAAACCTTAATAATACATCGACTGTTGATGACGTGTTGCAAGCTGTGTCTGCCTCACATGCTGTGTCTACCTCACAGGAGGCTTGACGCCTCACATGCTGTGTCTGCCGCGCATGCCTCGTATACCGTCTGCCCCGTATACGACTCGCCGCCTCACATGTGTCTGCCGCGCATGCCTCATATACGGCAAGCCACCTCACAAGTTGTGTCTGCCTCGTACACCGCACGCCGCCACACATTTTGTGAGGTGGCCTCATACGATAAGCTGCCTCACACGTTGCTTCCCTAAAATAATTTCTCACTGAAAAATACATTATTTTGAAAAAAGAAACGATTAATTTATTTCCTTTTGATGTTCCATTTTCATGGGTAGACGTCTGTTTATGTCACTCACTACAGAATCTTTGTATTATAAAGCTTTTAAAAGTCAGTTATTTGCAGCAGAAAAAACTTGTATCCTGAAATTAAGTCGAATATATTTACCTATACGGTAAAAAATTTCATAACCGTCCAAGTCCAATTCTTCACGTTTAGCCAAGGATCTGTCGTCCTAGTTTCTAATTTAAACTTTAATGACAATTAGCGCTGAGCTTCTCGAAGAAGATTTTGGTTATGCATCGAGAATCCATTTTAATTAGAAAAAATAAAATGTCAATAAAAACTATTTTTTCTATTTAATCTGAACACAGCAGTAAACTTTTCATCTTGAAACAATAATACTTCAGTTTAAATATATGTTTTTCTAATAAATACGTAGTAGGCTTCTGAACTGTTTTGGTCACAGCTAATATTTGGAATTTCAAACAATTAAAACGATTTCGATTCACGTAAGCGCCTACGTAATGACTGCTTTATGTAAACCCTAATGATGTGTTACAATTTAAACTTATAGTCATAAACTTAGTCGCCATGTCTTTAAGCCTGATATGAAAATTCAGCAAAACAGAGCTGCTCCTGTCTGTAAGTATCGCGATAAACTTGACGATATGGAACAAATTTCTGAAAAATTATTCATTAAGTTGACGCTACAAAATTTTCTGTGCTAACTTCCGTAGAAAATGAACTTTTTTAGGTGTAACTTAAATATTCTGAGAGAATTTCTGATCACCTATATTACATGTATATTTTTCATAGTTCCAAACAAGCAAACAAACGTGTCAAATTTCGACATTTTAGATCATCATAACATCAAAATAGATATGTGCATTATCATCACCACCTTCTCCACGCGCCAAAATTTCTTCTCGCTTTGAATCACCGACATGTGGAACAGCCTTCCCGATGACATCGTTGGCGCTCCAAGTATGAACGCGTTCAAGAACAGACTAGATAAAGCCATGGAAAAATATATGTTCAGATTTAAAATGCCTAGCACCATATCGAACCCGGTGGAAGTCGAGTAGCTACTTCAAACTATCGTCAGTCGTGAAAATATCCGGTCAAATGACACGAGTTTAGATCTTCTGTGAACAAGGCACGAAAAGGAAAAGAATCGGCGACAGGCCATATCAGGCATACACTTCAGCGCCGACATCACTATGTTATGTTATGCTAACACCAACATCACTCTCACCACAAGTGACCATAACCACCAACATCACACTCACCACACGTGCCCAACACCAACAGCATCACCATCAATTTCATCAATATGATCTTCAACATGAGCTTCACTGTAACCAAGAACATCATTATTCTGAACGTTACAAGCTCACATACACACCTCGAAGTGTCCCTTGATGATGCCGCCAGCCTGGCCTATGTACAAGGTGCTGCCGGGGTCGAAGACGATCTCCTCAGGCACTCGCTTCACCATCAGCCCGTTGTACAGCTGGCAGTTGAAGTACAGTTGTACCTCCTCGTCTGTTACTTTGAACGCCAGTCTGTGGTCCAGGAATAGAATACAGTATTTGAGTGATTTATCGTCTTCAATAAGTTTTTACTATAATTTATATTAGCTAACTTAATTGCAACTCACCAAGTCTTAAGTAACTCAACTTACTCTCAACTAACCTAATCTAAGCTAGCCTCACATAGCTTAACCCAACCTAAAGTAACCTAACCTAAGCTACTCTCACATAACCTAACAGGCTAACCCAACCTAAAGTAATCTAACATACTTTCAACTAACCTAACCTAAGCTAGTCCCACGTAACGTAACCCAACCTAAAGTAACCTAACAAAGTCTCAACTAATCTAACCTAAGCTGGTCTCACATAACCTAACCCAACCTAAAGTAATCTAACAAAGTCTCAACCAACCTAATTTAAGCTAGTCTCACCTAACCTAACCCAGCAATATCTCAACTAACCTAACCTACGCTGGTCTCACCGCGTCCACTTCCTGGTGAAGTCGGGCACTAGGAAGGAGGCGATGGTTTGGGATGTCATGTGTCGCTCAGAGTCGGTGTACAGGAGGGAGATGTTCGTCGAGCCCGTCTCCCCTGGACTCAGGGACACTCCCAACTGCACCACAGTCTCCAGGGGGTTGGTAACCGCGAACAGGTACATTGCTTCGTTCACGTCAGGCTTGATGGCCGCTAGGATCTGAAGTAATAGTAACAATCTGTGTAAAATTTAAGGTACATCATGTTCATGTCAATAAGATCTGTAGAATATTCGAAACGATTGGTGCGCAATAAAACATTCGGGGGAGTCGGGTGGTTTTGATACAGGCTAAAATAATGAAATCCAAAATTCTGAGGCTCTTATGATAATCCTTTGTTAGGCATTATTTTAGGACTGCAAAATCTGAAAGCCGGATAAAAAATTTCTCATAAATGCTTTCGTTGCGCTATTTTCTGAGGTATTGAGGTGAATGTTATTGAGTGAAGAAAATTTTATGCTGCAATTTTTTAAATGCTAAATATTGATACCTTCTACCTAAGTATCGAACAGTCGCAATAGCTATATTTTTATTCCGCAAGCTACCCTCATATGTCTCAGAATGGATTTTCGTCGAAATAATTGAGACGGTTCCAATGATATTTTTGGAACTAAGAATTCTAAGAAAATTCTATAAATTTTCATCAATATTAATAGAGGTAGTACCAAAATTAATTTATATCGACACGTTCATGCGACAGCATTTTACGCTGACTAAACTTTATGCAGGTTTAAAGAAAGGGTATTTTGTTACACATAATTTCCGTATACCATTGAGTATATATACCATAATCGTATACCATTGAGTATAATAATAATAATAATAATTTACAAAATACCGTAATTAGCATGATACAAAATAGAAAACATTAAGCTACGTCTGCGTGGGGATCTCATTGAAGTATACAAGTATGCTCATGGTTTATACAAGGTAGCCTCCCCGATGACATCGTTGGCGCTCCAAGTATGAACGCGTTCAAGAACAGACTAGATAAAGCTATGGAAAAATATATGTTCAGATTTGAAATGCCTAGCACCATATCGAACCCGGTGGAAGTCGAGTAGCTATTTCAAACTTTCGTCAGTCATGTAAAAATACGGTCAAATGACACGATTTCGATCTTCTGTGAACAAGGCACGAAAAGGAAAAGAATCGGCGACAGGCTACATCAGGCCTACACTGCAGCGCCGAGATCACTATGTTAAGGTTGAATTATCAATTATCTTTCAAGATTAAAAATAACTTGCGTTTAAAAATTACTTTTTAAAGACAACACTTCTAAAGAATACAGTGTCTCCTATGTTAAAAATCTGCAATGAATTTCTAATTTTATTTCCATATATTAATAAAAAACTATTTTTTTATATTAATATATGAAAAAAAAAATTTAATTATTTATTCCATCAATTGATTCATGCCTTTTCTTCAACTTTGCACAAGTGTTCAAAATTTCAGATTGATTGGACAGGTAGAAGTGTGTTGAATATCGATTATAAGATTCGTAGAATAAAAAATTATTTCTTTAATTTTTCAAATTACAATTTTTTTTTCAATTTTAAAGTTATATATTCTGTTAATTGATTCATGCATTGTCTTCAACTTTACGCAAGTGTGCCAAATTTTAGATCAATTGGACAGGTAGAAGTGTGTTAAATATTGATTATAAGATTTGTAGCAGACAGACAAACAAACAAACAAACAGACAACAAGTGAAGTTAAAGAGAAGTGTTGTAATAAAAAGGTTTGTAGCAGACAGACAAACAAACAGACAAGAAGTGAAGTTAAAGAAAAGTGTTGTAATAAAAAGCAAATTGCATAGAACTTACAGCGAAGTTTCGATGCATACGCTCAGGCAGGAACAGCCTGAAGGGATGCTTGATGTTGGCACCCGCCCTGAACCCGAACGCGGGGAAGCCATCGAAGCCCGTAACGAAGTACTGGGTTGAGGGGTCCGTGAAAGGCATGGTGATGGCCTCCAGCAGGTCTCGGTCTTCCGCCACCACTGAAATTAAATAACAATACATACTAAAATTAATAAATAAATAAATAAAAGTTTATAATAATAGAAAAGACATGAGAACAAATAGTCTGTGCGACATAAAGAATCCTGTCAAAAAAATGCAAACATGTGTGTTATTCATCGAGTTGAATCAAGTTACATGTGGACATTATGAAATGTTTTCAATATTAGGCACCCTAATTTTAAAATAATGAACAGTAATTTTGATTCGTTTGATTCGGAACTGCAGGAACTTATGTACACATTCCTTTTCATATTCGTTAAGGATGGCGGAACGCTGCTCAGTATACGTATCCGTAACGCTGCTCAGTATACGTATCCGTAACGCT